AAATGCAGGGTGCCCAGTTAGATCTGAATTTTAGACAAACGACAGATAAAAATGTGTGTGTCATGTGACACATTTGGGACGTACTTGTACTGAAAGGCTGATTTGCCGGACTGCATTGCATTAGACTTTGCACGCCTGTGACCAATTGCTGCCGGTGGCACCTGTGACCATTTAGCCTTTGCTTCCCATTAGACTTTGCACAAGGCTGAGGGCTAAACGTCTTGGGTTTGCATCCTGACTCTGCAACTTACCAGCTGGACAACCCTGGAAAATGTACTTAATCTCTGTGTGACTCAATGTCCTCATCCACTTACTAAGCACATGGGTGGCGTGCACCTCTTAGAGTGGTTAAGAGGATGCAAAGAACTCACAATAGTCAAGTGCTTAAAACAGAGCTTGGCACACAGTAAGCACTAAATGCCTGGAATATACGCACACACAGAATACACACACACACACACACCTTGGAGATATTGCAGGTTCAGTTCCAGACCACCACAATAAAGCACATACCACAATAAAGCAAGTCACACAAATGTTTTGCTTCCCCAGTGACTACAAAAGTTATGCTCACGGTATACCGTGACCTACCAAATGTTATTAACACTAATGTTATTCTAAAAACACAGTGTTTATACCTTAATGAAAAACCACTTTATTGCTAAAAAATGCTAACCATCAGCTGTGTCTTCAATGAGTCACAATCTTTTCTTTACTGGAATTATTTAAAATGTTGCAAGAATTCCCGGAATGTGACCCAGAGACACAAAATGAGCCAGAGCTGTGGGAAAGATGGCACCGGTGGGCTTGCTCCACACGGGCTTCCCACGGGCTTCCAGTTTGGAGAAATACAACTTCTGCACGGTGCAATGAGGCAAAGCATGGTAAAATGTAGTGTGCTGGTGTAGATATACTTACATACATACATGCATGCATACATACATGTCGGGGTAGCCAAAAAGTTCATTTTTTTCCATAAGATGGCTCTAGTAGCACTTAGTTGTCTTTAACTTCAATCAAAATAATTTCATTAGATTGTATTGTGACAGCTGCCATATCAGCATGCATTTTAAAAACAACTTATCAAAATTGGCGAGCTTTGGTGTAGCCACTTTAATATTGTAGGTAGAAGAAAATACACATTTTCTGCACGTTATGCTTTGTTATTTTATGAAAGGTAAAAATGCACTGAAACACAAAAGGAGATTTGTGCAGTGTGTGGAGAAGGGGCTGTGACTGAAGTGTCAAAAGTGGTTTCCAACTCTCTCCAACTTTCATGCTGGAGATTTCTCACTGGACGATGCTCCAAGGTCAGGCAGACCAGATGAAGTTGATAGAGATCTAATCAAGGCACCAACTGAGAATAATCAACACTATACCATGTGGGAGGTAGCTGACATACTCAAAATAGCCAAATCAATAACGTTATTGATGAAAATGAAAAAATGTGTCTTTTATTTTACAGAAAAAAACTAAAACTTTTTGGCCAGTCCGATACATTCTCTGGTTCAAAACCAGTCCAGTTACTGACTGAGGTGCAGGCGGGGGCCGGGGGGGGGTGGCGGGGGGTTGCCTACAGAGAAATGGCTGCAGATCCTCACAGGCTGGGTCCCCTACCTGGACTTTAAGCAGCTCTGCATTGCTTTTTGCCCTTTCCCCTCCACGGTCACAGGCTTAGCTGGGGACCAAGAAACCCACCTGGATCTTCCCTGGAATAAATGATCCTTAGTAACTGCAGAGCCAGAAGGCTCGGCTGATGTTTATTTAATCATTGCTCAGCGGAACCTGGGCCAGGGAGGGCAGTTGCCCAGAAGCAGTCGGGTCAGATCCCCTGCGTCTGATTGGGGCTGGATGCCCCTGAGTCCCTGAAATGCAACCACTTCTTCTGAGGAATGTGGGGAGACACCAGCAGAGCTGGAGGGTGGCTGCTGAGGGAGCCTTTCTCCTGAGAGGGGCTTGGAGGGGGAGGGCTGTGACCCGTGAGGCAGGGAGGCAGAGAGCAGGGGGACGCCGTCACCGACACCGTAAATATTTAGGGCAGAGCCGAGTCCAGAGCAGCCCGATCTTAGAACCTCCTGGGGTCTGAAGGCCCAGGACTCTGCTCTGAGGATGGGTCAGGAAGCCCATCCAGATGCTGCCTCTCCAGGGTCCGGCACTGCCCCCCGTGGTACCCTGTGGGGTGGAGGCCGGTGTTCCAAACTGTCAGTGTACAGGTGGTCTCTTCTGCCTGAGATCTGACAGCAAACTCCCATCCGCCTTTTCCCGGGAGGGCCGAGCCGTAGGGGCAGGGATTCCACCCTTCACTGCGAGAGGTCCATGTGGGGACTCCTGCACGTTAAGCTGAGATCTTTTAAGAAGTCCCAGAGGCTAGCATTTGGGGATTTGCCAAATCAAAGAAGCCAGAGGCAGATGAAAGATCCCGGGCACTAAATCAGGGATTTGAGAACCAGGAGATGAGAGCGAACACCAAGTGGGCTGAGAGTCAAGAGAGGGTTAGCTCTCCCGTGCTGGCGGCTCGAAGTGGGTCAGCCGAGCTCTCGGCAAAGAGCATTCGGCCATCAATCTCCTGAGAGCAAAACCTCAGCGCTCACGCCTCACTCTTCTGTCCATGTGGCCTGACCTTGAAAGGAAGAGATGTCATTACCTGGGCTCGCCATCCCGACTGTAACTACTCGAATCTTCAAGCCAAAGGCTCTTGCACCTGAAGGAATAGGAGTTTGTTACATCCCCCTCCCTCACAGGCCGTAGCCACGATCACATTTGGCAGAGGTGCTAACCTCGTCACCCATGATCCAGGGGCAGTGACGGTGTCTTCAGACCTTTCTTGTCAGTGACATGTCTACGTAACAGATTTCTGTTAGAGGATGAGCAAAGTGTCCGGAGCGACCCTGAGACAGGCTGCAGTCAGGAGGAAGAGTGGGACCGGCTGGAAGGTGGGGGTCACTGGCTGTGTTTTCCTTGCTGCTCCGAATGACCCAATGGGCCTGGTGCAGGACGGGGCTGCCTGAGTTGGGGGGGCCCATCAGAACAAGGGGCCCCAACTGCTCGCCACAGTTTTCTCCCTCCTCCCTCCCTCCCTTCCCAACTCGACTCTAACAATTTAAAAACACTGGCATTGACCTGAAAATGGTAGAATCAGTGACGAACACAGGCAACAATTGGACTGCTGAGTTTTCCGAGTGGAAGGCACATCTCGCCCGTGTCTGATGGAACTCACGGAGCCCCTCGGTGGTGGAGTGGGCGGTTGGCGGCTCCTTGCTGCACCCCTGTGCTCTGCAAGCCTTAAAGGAGGCCTCACATAGTCACAGGCTATGCCAGGGACAGAGGTACCTGCTGGGGATGCCTCTGGTCACGCGTCTGCTGCCCTAGGAGATTTGGACTCTGGTCATGGAACTGTCTCTAATCCTCCAAGGAGCACATTAGGGTGACCTCCGGGAGCTGCTACGGTGCCAGGCTGCTCCCGAGGAAGAGAGGAGGTGACAGAGGGATGGGACTCCACCGGCCTTGCCCCAGCTGCGCCCTGAGTGCCATCAGCTCAAGTGTCCAAGCAATGCTGACGAAAGAGGACAGATGACAGGCAGGCACAAGGCATTGTTGTGAAAATAGAGCCGCAGCTGCCCACACGGCCGTCTTGCTGGGCTGTTCTCGCAAACAGTGCTCGCCGGGGGTGAGGGCAGACTGGTCTGTGCTATAAATAAGCCGAGTCCCCGGCAGCTGCTGTCCAAGTCCCTGGCTTCGTCCAGAGCAGGAACGCGTTGGCTGGGGGAACGGCCGGCCCTCCCTGAGGAGGCCCCTCCCGCTGGCTGTGGGGTCTGGGCACCCTCGCTGCTGAACACACAGTGACACCTGGTACAATTCCCAGCCTTGCACTTTCTCCTCAGTCACATACGATTGTTCAAATTGTGAGTATTAATGTTGTTTCATCCTCTCCCAGCTCAGAGATGGATCCTGAAGGCCCGCAGACGCCAGGCAGCTTCGGACAGGGAGGAGAGAAACACTCTGCAGTCTGTAGTAGATGTCCCCCGCCCTGGGGCCTTTCATGTGACCCTGTGGGGTCCTTTCCTTTTGGACTTGTCCTCAATGCTGGCAACTCTGGGAGGACGTCACTGGGATGCACTGTGGGGCAGTGCGTGAAGAAACAGCGTCCCCGAGGGGAGGCTGGTACCCAGAGCCCTGAGTTACAGCCACTGCGGGAGAAGACTCGGCAGCAGCTAAAAAAGGGACGTTTGCATCGACCCTTTGACCCAGCAGTCCTGATTCTAGCACTCCATCCCAACGATACATTGGCAAAAACACAAAACGATGATATTCAAGGCCATTTGTCAAATGACTAGTTAGAGAGTAAAAGACTGAAAAGGAAATCAAATGCCCACCCACAGGGAAATGATTCGGTAAAGTACGGTATGTCCACGCGAGGGAGTATCACGCAGCTGTGAAAAGGCATGAGGCCCTGGCTGGTGGGGTTCAGTCAGCTGGAGCGTCACATCTGATTCCCCACAGGACACGTGCCTGAGGGCAGGTTGGTCCTGGGTTGGGGGGCACATGAGATGATTCTCTCACGTCGATGTCCCCCCCCCCCGTCCCTCCTTTCCCATCTCTCTCAGATCAATAAGCATGTCCTCGAGCGAGGATTAGAAAACAAACAAACAAACAAAAGGAATGAGGACAATTCTGTGTACTGCTATGTAGTCGTCTCTAGGGTGCAGTTATCTCTTATCTAAGAAAGGGGGATATGAAGACTTACACATACTTTATTTTTTAATGAAAGCATAAGTCATAGCATACAGAAGATGGTTACTAACGGAGGAGAGGGCGACAGGAAAGCCAGGGTAATGAATCGGACATGGACTGACTAAAAAGGCAATGAACTTAAACGGCAGCACGCCTTGCATGTACAGACCTTTTTCAAGGCCCCAAGAGACCTAGCAATTTCATTTTTTTTTTCTTGGCGTGAACATCTACGTGCAGTTCCTTCTTTAGAAGACCTCTGTGGTGCCTCTCTTGCAGGAGATGCCCCCGGCATACTCTCTGAATGGAGGCACAGAGCAGAATGTGTGTCGGTCAGGCAGCATGCCACGGTGTCCCTCCTTCTCCTGGTCCCGATGGCCCAGAGAGACGCAGAACGGCCTGCTCCCTCAGCTGCGTAAACCTCCACTCCGCTTCAGGTGGCAGCGCCCGTACTGTCCTCTCCTCTGGCCATCCCAACGGCTGTTCATCCTGCTTAGTCTCTGGCCTCTCCTCTCGGCCCCAGTACTCTCTTCTGAACAAGCCTTGGGTTTCTTGAACTGGGAAGGGAGGCACAAACAGGGACCGTTGCTTCAGAACCATCTTCAGAATCCAAATACATAAGAATCTGTCTTAGAAGACTAACCCTTCAATTGGTGGTCATCAGTTCATTTCAACATACCCATTTCTCACTCATTTTTTTCAGTGCCATTGGGCACCTGTTGCTTGCCAGGCACTGGGCCAGCTCTTGGGCATAAAAAAGTGAGTGAAGTCTGGCCCCATGAAAGTCAGTGTGGTCTTTAGAATCCCTTTAAAAATTGGAGCAGCCAAGGAGAAAAATAAAGCTTTGAGTTTGGCCCTTTTTGGCTGTGTGATCATGGGCACATTATTTAACCTCTCTGAGCTTCAGGTTCTCGTTTACAATATGGTGATGATGTCAACGACTACCCCAAAGAGGGGTTGTAAGGATCAATGGTATAACGCTTGTAAAGTGCTTATGATAATGGCTGGAATGTAGTAGTTGCTTAGTTAATACTCCTTTTCTTCTGAAGGACTCCCAGTCTGGCTGTGAGACTGTGTAGTGGAGGTGGGCAGGGGAGGCGCGGGTTAATTTTGGTGGCAGTGGGTAGGGGTTTTGGAAATCTGGTGCATGGGGGACTGTGGAGGGTGGAGGCATCGTGGGCAGCCAGGGCTGCGTGTGGGTTTGGGGCACTGGCCAGCATGAAGGTGGAGCGTGAGGACTGCCCAGGGAGTATCCGTGTTGAGACTGGGTGGGGGGGATGAGGCAGGCCTTTGCCATTTTGCTTAAGGCCAGGCCGTGTCCTGTGAACAGTAAACAAGGACTGTTTATTTGGACTAAAATAACCAGCCTCTGGCACTCTGGGTCTGTTTGCGTTTGTTTTCCCATCACTGCCGGGTGCGAGATAAAACACTAGATCTGAAGTGCTGCATGGTTACCAGTGCCGTGGTGCGTGACTCTGGAGGTCCCTTTGGGTCAGGCCGGGTAGAGGGCAGCCTCCCAAGTGAGCCCTGGGGACCCGCCAGTTTCGTCTCTGACCATATGACAGACTCATCTCTCTGGAATGGCTTGCAGTTCCCATCCTCAGGCTGGGCCTAGCCGTTCTTTTTTTAAATCCTCGCCCGAGGCTATGTCTGTTCATTTTAGAGGGACAGCAGTGGAGAGAGGGAGAGAGAGAAACATCAGTGTGGGAGAGAAACATCAATCTGTTGGCTCCCGCGAGCACCCGAGTGGAGATCGGACCTGCGATCCAGATAGGTGCCCTGACTCGGAATCGAACCTGCAACATTTCGGAGTACAGGATAACGCTATTACCAACTGGCCCGCCTGGCCAAGCAGGCCTGTCCATTCTCATGCCCAGCCCGGGCCTCAGAGACACAGGGCAGGGCCCAGACTCCGGCCCTGTGTGGCCAGGCAAACTAGACGACAGCATTTGGCTGGTTTTTGCTGCCTGACCACCCTCCCCTCCCTCCCCTTTCTGCAGCCCTCTCCCTCCCTGTGTCTGCACTCTCCTCCCCTCTGTCCCATGCCCAGCCTCAGTATCTGCTGCCCCGTTTGTCCACCCCAGGGCCCAGCAGAGCGAGCGGCCCACCAAAGTGAGTGCGGTGGCCAGGCTGGGACAGGGCTCCGTCAGTGAGTGGTAAGGGGTGCCCCTGGCAGTCGGCCTCAGAGGTCAGAACAGGGTGCCTCACGACAAAGCCCCAGGTGGTACCTCAGGAATCTGCTGCCAAGGGCGTTGAGTCCATCTGATGGAAAAGATGCTTCTGTGGCCAGAAAGCAGATTGTGGGGGCCTTCGTGTCTCCCGGGCTGCGCTTCATTCCTCCGCAGCTGGGTGGGAGAACCACTTCTCTCCTGCTCCATCCGTCTCCCACCCCCACCCCCACCCCATCACACCAGGGGCAGGGATCTGCATTCAGCTCATCTCAAAGCAATTTGAAAAGACAAAGGCAAGTCCCCAGCACTCCGTAGGCTGTTCTGGTGCGTTTCCAGAAATAGCTCCTCCCCAGCTTATTAGCATTGGTACTGGGCAGGCCACAGGCGGCATTCACGTAATTCATGGGCTCAGGTCTCAAGTGCAAACAGAGAAAACAACAAGGGTCAAGTCATTTTGCAGAGTGAGATCGGGGAGTGACACGTCCCTCCCCAGGGATCTTTTGCCCACCTGTACAGTGGGGGCAAGGGTGAGCTTTACAGCAGGACAGACGGGGCATCCGAGACGAGGGTCAAGTACTGAGCCCTCGCTGTCCTCAAGGCTGCACAATAATAACCCCAACCACTGCCGGCTGCCTGGGTAGCACGGGGCTACGGCCCTGGTAAAGCTGTGGTTTTTTCCACTTCCCCTTTGGCAAAGGGCTCTAGGAAGACAGGGAGGAAGGGACAGACTGCAGGACTCTGTCACTGTGTCTTCGGAAGTCACACTGTTGCATGCAGGACTGGCCACCCTCCCGCGCCATTTTCAGAACCGATACTCGCCCTGAGGAAGACAAAGCCCTGGATCCAAACCCTGCCTCTGCCCCCACGTGACTCTGGGCACACTGCCTCCCTCTCCGACTCTTTCCTCCTCTATCTGTGAAACGCCTACCTCCTGGGAACGCTCTGCGGGGACACGAGGTAATCTGAGAACGGGTAGCAGGGAGCTAGGCCGGCACACAGTCTGTGCCCCGTGAGTAGTTACTGGAATTCATTGTCATTTTAGGGAGCTAGAAGTCCTGAGAGATGAAAAATATTCAACTTTCAAAGAACAGGAGAGAGAGCCCAGACCGGCATGTCTCGGTTGGTCGGGTGTAGTCCAGCAAAGTGAAAGGTCGCCGGCTCGATTCCTGGTCAGGGAACACGCCTGGGTTGCAGGTTCAGTCCCCTGTGGGGGGTGTGTGGGAGGCAGCTGATCAACGTTTCCCTCTCACATCGACGTTTCTCCCCTCACTTTCTCTTTATTTTTAAAGGACAGAGAAAAGAAAAGCAGAGTTTTCAAGTCTAACCCTATTCTAGATGTGGGTCTTGGGCCTATAAATTCACAGTATCTAAACCCTCCTCGCACTGACTGACCTTTTCTGGGAAAGAAGTTCACACAAGTTTAAGTCTGGCCCACTTGTCAGAGTAGATACGGATTTCCAGGTATGACCACCTCCCATTTGAAAGTTCACAACGGAGACCCAAGGTGGAGCGGCCTATCTAAGGTGATACAGACAGCTGGGACCCCCCATGCAGGTTACAGACAGCCGGGACCCCTGTGCAGGTTACAGACAGCCGGGACCCCTGTGCAGGTTACAGACGGCTGGGACCCCCCAGCCCCCTGCCGTGCAGGTTACAGACAGCTGGGACCCCTGTGCAGGTTACAGACAGCCGGGACCCCTGTGCAGGTCTCTGCTGCAAACTGCAAACCCCGGTCCCCCCTCTGCCACTGCCATTGCCATGAGCTGCTCCACGCACTGTCCCCAGGGCCACCCCTGTGCGCCTGTGACCTGGGCCGGTCCCCAGGCCGATCAGATCACCCCTTCCAAGGCTCCATGGTGGCTCTGTTTTACAGTCAGACTCACACTTGGGAATCTCAAAAGTGACAAGTTCCAGACACTATGATTAGGAAAAAAATTGGAGGGATTTTATTGTATTCGGTCATCAAGCTGTTCCATCTGTACAACCGGGTAACCGGCAACTGCGGGCGCTGCGATGTCTCTTGCAAAATTCCTGATGCCGAGATGCACTCTACCCTCTACCCCTTCACCTTCCGCCCTCTGCTCTCTCTGTTTCACAGACAGAGCGAAAGAAACTCCCAAACCCACGAGATCTCCACCTAACAACTAATGAGTGGAAAAGATTCGCCACAACAGGGCACGGAAGGGAATGACTTTCTCGCAGGCTGGGGCTCCCGCCTGAGGTCCACTGGGGATTATTAGCTGAGCTCATAAGATGCTGACTTCGCGCAGTGGTGTGATGTGTTGACAACGCAGGAAAATCAATGCTTGGCCCAAGCCCAGTGGAGACAGGCAGGTTGAGGATGCGGGAGAGGCCCGGCCTGGCTGAGGGTCTGGGGCGGGCAGAGGAGGTGGGGGCGGGGAGCCCCGAGTTTCACCTTTCGTCATTGCCCACCGCTCCCTCAGACTCTACGTGCCGACAGCCTACGGAGCGTGCCTTCCACTGGGCAGCCGTCGGGGCCCCCGAACGCCTCATCTAGAACACCTGTTCCATTCCTCCTGGCGTGACAGTCAACTCTCTTATAATTCTCCACTGGGTTTTACGTTTCTTGAGATCAGGGACTGTGTCTTAATCACCTCTGGCCTTTGAGCCTTGCAGGAATCAAGTGCCTAGTAGGCACTTGCTGAAGAAATGAATTACTGAATCAATGAACAAGTCAAGTGCTCAGTAAATATTTACGGACTATGTCCTCTAATAGGGCTTCGGCAGGATATTCCCTTTTCTGAGCTGGAAGCTCCTTAGCAGAGTCCACCTGATAAAGAGACCGTCTTTCTTTGCTATCTGACTGTCCCCTAGCATAGTTGAAACTCATAAATAAGCACAGTATGAAACTGACTGATGAAAATGTTGTAGGTGGAATGAGGTACCTATGCTGTGGTTAAAAATATAAGAGCCTAATGTTCTTTCGGCTACATGTTTTTGAGAGTCAGTCTGGGGAGTCGTTTGCACTCTTCCTGACTGGCCATTCTCGTTAAGAATCAAGGTGACACCCGGCTGACACCCCATGAGAGACAGCCAACGTGACTGTTTCCTGGGCAGGCCCAAGAGTGAGACAGCCCCCTGCCTGCTGCGGCTGCCTCGGCTGGGTTCATCTTCAGAAGTTCTGTTCTTCCCGCACTTGGAAGGATCTGGTTCTCTTGGAAGAGATTCATAGGCGATCATTTTATCACCTTTTTCTCGAACCGCACCTGATAGAGTAATAAGGAGTCAGATTCCTTCATTCACCTTTTACCTGTATATCCTCCCGCTCTTCTCTAATGGATCCTGGGAGGGCCAACATGAAATCAAACCATGCATGTGTTTTACCAATGTCTGGGTCTTTAGGTCAAGGGCCAGTTACTAGCACATTCATTCTAAAGCAAGAGTTCTAAAATAATTAGTGTTTACTGAGTTGTTAGCTGCCAGTCACAAGTAAACAGTTTGCATGGGTTCTCTTCCTCTAATTCACGAAGTGCTCAATTCCTGAGTCACAGAGGAGGCAGCTGAGTTGGCAGTGCCTGACTCGTCACTTTTCCTGGAGTCCCAGGGTGCATAAGGGGCAGAACCCAGGCTCTATCCAAGGCCTGTCAAGTAGTAGGCCTCTCGCGGCAGCCACTGTGCCCCTGGCCATCTTGTCAGTGGCTGTGAATATCCAAAGAGGAGCATTTTCTGCCTCCCCTGGTTCATAACGGACAGACAAGGCAACCCCACAGGCACGTATCTCGGTCCTCATTACCGCCACGTATCCGTATTCGACTGCTGGGCAAGTCTACCTGGGATTCCTGGGGCACACCCTGTCCGCACCCCGTAACGGTTAACCCCGAAGGAAGCTCAGTGTGTCCTGTGCTGAGACCATTTGGAAATCAGGTGCCAGGGTTGGTCGGTTTGTTTTCTCTTTGAGGAGCTGAAGGTCCTTAGCTGTGAGTGGCCGTTCAAAACTCATTTTTGCCATTCAGACCCTAAGACAGGGCGTGCTGACAGAGGTCGGAGGGTCTTCCTGCCCATCCAGCTTTGCCTGAGCATCTGTCACAAAGATTCGCAGGGAATTCTACCAGTCACCCCCAAGGGACAGCAGGCGGGGACGGGCCATTAGTGGTGACCACTGGATGAGACTAGACCCTCAGTTAAACTCAGGGGTGTAGGCCTTCCTACAGAGGGAAGGGGCCTGGTGACCTCAGAGATGCGCGTGTTGAAAACCAGTGAGGTTATGCCCACGACATGGAAATGTAGCCCCTGAAGGGAGTGAGACTCTCCATGTCCTACCGGTCCCTCCTGTCCTGGAGCGCTCTTGCCAGAAAGCCCCTGTATGGACAAACCACCCCCCAGCTTGGTCAGTGATGTTTAAAACCCCTTTACTATCGAAGGTTTCAAACGTAACTGCCCCTTGAACGGGTGACCTACCATCCACACTATGAGGAATACTGCTTACATGTGTGGGGTTGCACGAGTCATTGGTGCTGCCGCGTCTCATTGCAAATGCTCGCGGCGGTCCCGCCTTGGTTTACAGAGAAGGAGAATGAGGACAAGAGAGTTTGAGTGCCTTGTTCCAGGACAGCAAACGCTAGAGATAGAACTGGGGCTCAGATTTTGTAGTTGTGCGTCCCCAGCTCTTTTTGCTATACCCATACACAGGCACTGAGCTCTAAGTAGCCATTATTCCAGACGCTCGTCTTGCTAACAGAAAGAGAGGTTGATGGCCTTAGAAACTGGGTACCTGCAGGTCTCCTGAGGAAATGAAGGGGACAGGGAGAAGGCAGAGAGGATGAAGGAGGGGTGGGGCATCCTAAGAGAAGGCTGCCAATTTGATGCCCCTGCCAAGGGGGTGAATCTGCTTTTGCTCATAAGTGGTCGCTAGAGCCCCTCCTAGTTCAAAAAGGCTTCAAAATAATTGTTGTTGTAGTTTTATGACTTGCCTGTGTTTCCTCCAGCTAAGCAACAGTGGAAGGCAGGAAGCAAATGCCAACATGGCGACCCCATGGGAACGCCCTGGGCTGTGCCATTTACACGGGATGAGAGCAGGAGGGCAGCCATGGGGTTGGGTGCACCGAGCCTGCTGGGTGCCCCACAGGGTCTGTGGGGACTGGAGCCCCGGTGGCCAGGACACACTCAGTCCTCAGACACGACAGGCCTGGTCAGAGATTGGTGAGAGATCATTTCCACTTCCCGCCCTGGATGGTTAAAGGCAGATCAGTAGCAGAGCATGGTGTATGCTCAGCGGGAAGAGAGGTGAAAGGGGTGAGCGCCATTGCACTGAGCTCATTGTATCACACATTCATTCATTCATTCAGTCC